TGGACTTGTATGTCTGTTTCCGTCACCAAGTTAGGGAAGTTTTCTGTCATTATTTTTTCAAATATGTTTTCAATTTCTTGCTCTCTTTCTTCTTCTTCTAGCACCCCCATGATGAGAATGTCGGTACACTTGAAGTGGTCCCAGAGGCGCCTTACACTATCCTCATTTTTTTGGATTCTTTTTTCTTTTTGTTATTCTGACTGGGTGTTTTCTGCTCCCTTATATTCCAAATCGATGGTTTGCTTCTTGACTTTACCTACTCTACTATTGATTCCCCGTAAATTATTCTTTATTTCAGTTAGTGCATGCTTCATTTCTGACTGGTCCTTTTTTATGTTGTTGATGTTCTCACTAAGTTTCCTAGAGGTCTCCTTAAGTTCCATGAAGGCCTCACTAAGTCCCCTGAATGTCTCACCAAGTTCCTTGAGCAATCATATAACCTGTGTTTTGAACTCTGCATCTGTTAGATTGCTTATCTCCATTTTGTTTAGTTCTCTTCCTGGAGTTTTGTTCTTTTCTTTCATTTGGGACATGTTTCTTTGTCTCTTCATTTTGGTAGCTTCCCTGTAATTGTCTCTATGTATTAGAGTTGCTATGTCTCCTAGGTTTTGTAGGGTGGCCTATTATTGTAGGTGTCTGTAGGATCCAGTGACACAGCCTCCCTGATTGTCCCAGCTGGGCCCTCTAGGTGCACTCCTAGTGTGTCTTGATTGCTGTTGGCATGTCAGTAGGAGGGATTTATTCAGGCTGATCAGCCGCAAAGACTGGCTGTGTCCAGTAGCCACTGGCCTCTGACTACCTTGGAGGATCAGTGGTGTAGAGGCCCACCACACAGAGGAAGACTTACTTCATCAGGGCTCTGGTACCCACTGAGTCCACTCATTGAGTGTGTCACTTGTGGAGGTGGTTGGGTGGTTATGTTTTGATGTGGTCTGAAGCTGTCCACTGGGTGTGCTGGCTCTGGGGCAAGGTCAGCCACTGCCTGTGTTTTATCCAGTGCCACTAGCATAAGCTACAAAGTGATCTGCCTATGGCTGCTTTTTGTGCTGGGCTTGGAGGTGCCCAGGAAAAGCCAAGTTGCGAACCAAGGCTAGTTGCTTCTAATGCCAGGCCTGGGGCCATTTAACAAGAAGTATGGGGCTCACTGAGACCAGATGCTGCTTGTTTGAGAGATTTTAGGAAACTCTGAAGCAGGATACAAGACAGGCCAATACTATGGTAAAGCCTTTGGAAACAGCTTGGGTGGGCCCGAAAGTTGGGTGAGGGCCTGAGGAAATCACCAGGGCGGGGCCAACAGTGTGAGCCAGGTTGCTGGAGTCCCAGATATGGCAGCTGTCTGCTGGGCCTGTGGGGGAAGGGCTCACCAAAGGAACATCAGCCTCCACCAGCGTGTCTGTCCAGGAGAAAGCCGCCTCTCCAGCCCTTGTCCCGAGGCCAAACAGCTCAGTTCTTCCCTGTATGTCTCTGGCACCCCTCAAGCTGCCTTCTCTTGCAACTCAGAGGGAACAAGTCCGAGTAAGTCTGTGCGCAGGCCCTTTAAGAGAAGCTGCCTGGGGCTCTAGTAGCCGCAGCCTCTCTCAGCCTCAGTTCCCACTGTTTTTTTTTGTTGTTTTTTATCCTCACCCGAGGACATTTTTCCATGTTTTGTTCAGATAGAGTGGGAGGGAGAGAGAGAGAAATACCGAAGTGAAAGGGACACATCGAGTGGTTGCCACCCACACAACCCAACCAGGGCCGGAGACAAACTGCAACCCGAGGTACGTGCTCTTAGCGGGAACTGAACCCGGGTCTCTCCAGACCACAGGCCAACGCTCTAACCACTGAGCCAAACCGGCCAGGGCTCCCGCCGGTTTTTCCAGCCAGAAGTGATGGGGACTTTTCTTTCTGGCACTGGAACCCTGAGCTGGGCATCTGGTGTGGGACAGGGACCCCTCAGTCCTCAGGGAGGACCTTTCCAGCTGAGGTGTCCTCCTGAATTTTATCCACCACACGTGGGTGTGGGACCAGCCCGTCCACCTCCACCCCTCCTACCAGTCTCGATGTGGAGGCTTCTTTAATTCTGTAGTTGTAGGACTTCCATTCAGCTCGATTTCAGGTGGTTCTGAATGACGGTTGTGTTGTAGATTAGTTGTAATTTTGATATGGTTGTGGGAGGACACGATACCGTGTTTACCTGCGCTGCCATCATGACCCGAAGTCTGTTGTAGGCTTGTAATCGCTACAGATACTGCTTCCTAATTATCCCATTGCTAAGATGAATAAACTGAGGGTAAATTAAAGGATGTCAAGGCATCAAGCATTCATAGAGACAGGGTGAGCACTTGGAAGATAGTCTCCAGTATCAGACGGCAGATTCAGACCCTTCTGTTTCATCATTAACTTCAGGATCTGCGGGCTGTTCGTAGTCATACTGCTTGAAGATCCTGTTCAGATTCTTCTAGCCACACAAAGCTTCTGCAGATGGCAGAGAGATGTGCTTTCCAGCTTCAGGAAGCATCATTTTCGTGTAATTGTGAGGATTTAAAAAGCTCTATGCCCCCAAATAGAGGACTGGCTAGATAAATTATGCCCAACCATATAACAGAACATAGGCAGCCTACGAGATGGAATATTATTAAGGACCAAAAAAATATTCATAGTTCATTGTTATTTAAGCCCTCGCTGGTTTGGCTCAGCAGTTAGAGTGTTGGCCTGTGGTCCAGAGAGACCCAAGTTCGGTTCCTGCTAAGGGCATGTAACTCGGTTGCAGTTTGTCCCTGGCCCTGGTTGGGTTGTGTGGGAGGCAGCCACTCAATGTGTCCCTTTCACATTGATGTTTTTCTCTCTCTCTTCCTTCCTCTCTCTCCCTCCCACTCTATCTCAACAAAAAATGGAAAAATGTCTTCGGGTGAGAATAAAAAAAAAACAAATAGGTCACACTATGAGGTATCACCTCACACCTGCCAGAATGGCCACCATCAACAAATCCTCAAACAACAAGTGCTGGTGAGGGTGTGGAGAAAAGGGGTCTCTAGTACACTGCTGGTGGGAATGCAGACTGGTACAGCCACTATGGAAAATAATATGGTGTTTCCTCAAAAAATTAAAAATGGAACTGCCATTTGACCCAATAATCCCACTTCTAGGAATATATCCTAAGAAGTCTGAAACACCAATCAGAAAGAATATATGTACCCTTATGTTCATAGCAGCACTATTTACACTTGCTAAGATCTGGAAACAGCCCAAGTGTCCATCAATAGATAAGTGGACTAAAAAGCTGTGGTACTGCCCTGGCCAGTTTTGCTCAGTGCTTAGAGCACTGGCCCGCAGACCAGAGAGTCCCGGGTTCAGTTCCCGCTAAGGGCATGTACCTCAGTTGCAGTTTGTCCCCGGCCGTTGGGGTCATGTGGGTGGCAACCAGCCAATGTGTCTCTCTCACATCAATGTTTCTCTCTCTCGCTCTCTTTCTCTTTCCTGTTCTACCTAAAGATAAAATGCAAAAATGTCCTCGAGTGAGGATAAAAAAAAAAGCTGTGGTACATATACACAAAGGAGTACTATGCAGCTGTAAGAAAGAAAGATCTCTTATCCTTTGAGACGGCATGGAGGGACCTGGAGAGTATTAAGCTAAGTGAAATAAGCCAATCAGAGAAAGAGAAATACCATGTGATCTTACTTATTTGTGGAATATAATGAACAAAAAAAGCTGAACAAAACAGACCCAGAGACATAGAAAGGAGTATGGTTTAGACTGACAAACTTCAGAGGAGGGGGGTGGAGGGTGGTGCATAGAGATGAGATAAATCAAAGAACTTATATTCATGTATGTGTAACCCATGGACATAGACAGCAATGCTTGGGGGAGGGGGCTAGGTAGGAGGGTGTCTGGGGGGAATAAAAAGAAACATCTGTAACAAAAATAAATAAATTAATAAAAAAATAAAATAAAAAAATAGGTCACAGTGGGGTATATAGAATGTGTGTCTATATATATGCATACACACATACATGTACAGAAAATGACAGGCAAAGAGTATGTCTCATAATATTAATGGTGATAATTTTGAGCATGCATATTAGTATTAGGAAAAATCTTTTGCCTTATTTTATCTATATTTTCTAATTTTTTTTACAATAAACCTGTATGACTTTTATAAAGAAAAAATAATTTATTCAAAAATGGCAGGAGAGGCACCTATAGTAAAGACCGCTTTTTCCGTGGATAGTGTGTTCCTCTTCTATTGAAATTGAAAATTATCTTTCTGCTCCTGCCTGGCTGATGCAATGGCTCCCACCTTTGTGCACAGGGCTGCTCTTGTAAAACGCCTGTCATAGCGCAGATCCTGTTGCATTCAGGTTAGTGGGTACATACGCAGTTACAACCACTTGGTGAAGAGCCTGGCACATGGGTATGTTTGAAATAAATAAATGAATGAGTTGGCAGGGGCTTAATAACTTGGATTTGGATAGGAACTCTACAATTTATGAGCTAGGTGAGTCCCAGGCTCCTAATCTGTACAGTGGCAATAAAGATTGTAAGTCAAGAGACCTCCAATAGTTTTTGTAAATGGCAAAGTGCTGGTCACAGGATGGGTGGGGGTGGGGGTACAGAGAGAGTTTATTATTATTGCTGCATCTATTAACAGGTTTAATCTTCTCATCCCTTATTTCTCTGTGGCTCTCTAAGGCATCTCGGTTACCATAACAGCCAGATGCTGATGATGCCTCTAGGGGCAGCAAGGCGAAGCTGAGCTAGCTCCCAGGTCCTCATTTCCACATGACCTTTGCAGACCAGAGTGAGCCCGGCTGAAGCTCAGCCTTCTTTCAGGACCCCCACTCTGTCTGGAGCCACTTAGACACACAAACCCTGCCTCTGCAGCCTCAGGGCTCTGAAACACCCTTTCGGAGGTGTCCTTCTCCTTAAGCTCTATTTCTGGCACCCTGCCTGGTTGCTGTGGAAACAGGTTCCACTGCGGACAAAGGAGGGAGCCGGGTCCTGCTTCCTCCTGCTCCTATAGATGAGAATTTTTAGACCGTGGAGACTGCGCTGCCCTGCCTTGCACCTGCCCTCACTCTCCGTGTTCTCGCTCAGGTGCAGCTTGCCTTCCCTCACCACTGACGAGACCATGTGCAAAAGCGTGACCACAGGTGAATGGAAGAAAGCCTTCTATGAGAAGATGGAGGTGGCCAAGCCGGCTGACAGCTGGGACCTCATCATAGATCCCAACCTCAAGCACAATGTGCTGGCCCCTGGTTGGAAGCAGTACCTGGAGCTGCATGCCTCAGGCAGGTGAGTAGTCCAGTAAGTAGGGGCCCTGCAGGCAGCTGCTGGGGCACCTTCCAAGGAGAGACAGAAACATGGGGCTCCCAGATGCTAAGAGTCAGTCTCACTCTTGGGTCCGTGTAGACTGGAGGCAGAGAAAGAGTCCCAAACTGGGAGTTGGGACACCTCAGTTTGATTTCTGCTCTTCCTTTGAGCACCTGTGTAACCTTCCCTCTCTGAGTCCAAGTTTCCCCTTCCAAAAAAGAGGTGGAATGTAGTCATTAGTTCTAAATACGTACTTTCGGATATAATCTAAAATGGTTAAGAGAAGAAGGGCTTGAGATCTATTGGGGGTTAAGTGCTCTGGTCCTGGAGCAGTTCCATTTCAATCAGTGTAATACAGCTCGATTCAATATAAAATACTGAACTCAAGAAGTGTGCGAGAAACTGGCTCTACTTAGCTCCATGGCCCTTGAGCCATTCACTGCCCATCTTGTACCTCACTTTCCCATTTGCAAGAGGAGGGGTTAGTCTAGATCCTTACTGTGCTTCATGGACTAGCAGCATCAAAATCACCTGGAACTTGTGAAAGATGATGAACTTGTACCCCATTCTAGACCTACTGAATCAGAATCTTCATTTCAATAAAGGCTCCTAGGTATGTACAATATATCGTATGTACAATAACATCTGAGATGACCTTCCGTCTCTCTTGTCCATGGGTCCGTTATGTAAAAACTTACCTTTGGGACATAAGATAGGGAAGCTGAGTGGTGCTGCCTCCTGCCTTCCTCTGGTTCGGCCTAGTCAACTCAATTCAAGAAACTTCTACTGGGCACCGGCAATGTGCTGGGTACTGGCTCTGCGTCTAACTAGCTACATGTAAAGGGATTGCTTTCTTATTCTCTCTGCCTCAGAGTACAACAAAGGGTTAATTAGGTGATTTCTAAGGTCTTGACATTTTCTACTCCAAATTTTGTAGTCTAGTCTGAGAGAAGGACAGTCCTCAAAGGATATGAGTAAAATACAAGAGATGAGACTGAACTGTGAAGCCCCTAAGCTGGCTGACAGGAGGGTACAAACAGCTGGACACTTGCTGGGGGTGCAAAAGGCTGGATACTTCCTGACAGGACCCAGGAGCTTCTTCAAGACTTGGAAGGCGTTCTGGGCTAAGTGCAGAGGGCTTGTGCCTCCTCCAGACCGCCTGGTGACCTGTGATCTCCAGCTGGCCCCAGTGAGCTCACTCTGGGCATCGGTTGCCTGCACTTCCAGGCCTTGAGATACGTGCATCCTATCTCTGGCTGGAGGTGAGAGGTTAAATTACTATCATTTTCTCCGGATTTGGGTCTAGCCTTTTCACAGTCAGTGTTGACAGGTAAGAAGGTGTGGATAGACCATGCGATTCCTAAATGATGCAGGCCATCCGGGCTCATCTATGTACTTGTATGTTCTACAAATGAGGCAAGATGCCCAGAGCCAGAGGCCCAGGGCAAGGCTGAGGGCAGTGGGATGGAGGAGCTGAGGCCTCTGCAGAGCACGGAGGAGGTGGGCCCATGACTGGCAGAGCGTTGCTGGATGCCAGGTGCATCCTAAGGAGCTTGCCCTGGGCCCAGCAGAGCACACAAGGGGGCAGGCTGGGCAGCCACCTGGGGAAAGCTTATGAACCCAGGGGACCACAAACGCACCGCCTCCATGCTCTGCCTACTGACCCTCCCCTACGTCCTGCGGCTGTTTCCACTGCTTCCATTCCTTCTCCTCGGCCTAATCCCCGCAGGTTCCACTGCTCCTGGTGCTGGCACACGTGGCAGTCGCCCCACGTGGTCATCCTCTTCCACATGTTCCTGGACCGGGCCCAGCGTGCGGGCTCGGTGCGCATGCGCGTCTTCAAGCAGCTGTGCTACGAGTGCGGCACGGCGCATCTGGACGAGTCCAGCATGCTGGAGGAGAACATCGAGAGCCTGGTGGACAACCTCATCACCAGCCTGCGCGAGCAGTGCTACGGCGAGCGCGGCGGCCAGTACCGCATCCACGTGGCCAGCCGCCAAGACAACAGGCGGCACCGCGGCGAGTTCTGCGAGGCCTGCCAGGAGGGCATCGTGCACTGGAAGCCGAGCCAGAAGCTGCTGGAGGAGGAGGCGACCACCTACACTTTTAAACCTGCCCCCAGCCCCTCCAAACCACAAGCCGAGATGAGTTCCGGCCGCAACTTCTGCTCTATCCCCTGGTGCTTGTTTTGGGCCACAGTCCTGCTCTTGATCATCTACCTACAGTTCTCCTTCCGCAGCTCAGTCTAAGATTCCCTTGGTGAGTCCCAGGGGACTCTAGCCCCCCAAGGCCAGGGGGCCAGCCCGCTAGTGGGAGGGACCAAGAGAGACTGGGGTGGGAGTGGGGTTAAGTTCCAGCACTGGTGCTGCACTGACTCACTGGGCTCCCTGGATAGTTCACCCAGCTTTTCCATCTGCACTGTCATGGGTTTGGGCTAGATCATTGGGTTTTCAAAGTGAAACTCAGGGCCCCAGACTTCTGCATAGGTGCCCCAGGGACTTTTGAATTTGGAAGGTAGATTGAGTGAGTGGATTTTCCATCCTGGTCAAATCACCCATCCCCAACTCCTACCTCCTGCTGTGTCTTTAATCAGAACAGCTCCATCTTAGATGGAGTTCCATTTAAAAATTTGTATTAAAAAAAAACAACAAAAACAAAAGCCTTCCAGCTCCTGCCTGTGACCTTGGCTTTATCTCGCTCTTAGAGTCTCCATTATTTCCTCTACCACCCTTGCCAGTACTATCAAATGTTGTTAGAATCACTTGTCTATGACTACACTCCCTGCTGGAATGTGACCCCTGATTTACCTCAGGTCCCACTGCCAGATAGTGTCACAGGAGGGAGTCCAACCCTGATCTAGTTTTAGTTTTAGTCCAGAACTCCTTTCTATCTGCTCAAAAAAACGTTTGAAAATGACAGGACTAGGAAATCTCAAAGGCCTTTCCACAGCAGTGAGTGCATCCTTGTTTTGTTAAGCACCCCTCCCCCATTATCTCCCACATCTGGAGCTGCAGCCTTTAATGAGCTTCTGCCTCTTGTTTGAGCCTCATCCACAGCTCTGCCTCCATGCACACAGCAGAGGCTCCCTTTGAAGGGAGGTGGGGGCACTAGCCTTGTCCTTTTGCTGCTGGGTCCACAGGATCCTTTATTTCTTCCAGGATGCCAGCTTCCAGCTTCCCTCCACTCAGGGCAAATTCTGGGGTCTGCCTGGCTCCGAGGTGTTGCTTGGGGTGCAGTCCCATAGAACTAGGCTTCTGACACAGTGTATTTGAACGGGCAGAGAATTTAGGGGATAGAAGATCGAGTGTTGGAAGCAAAGTACAAAATCCCTAAGAAACAAATATAATGACTTCCCATAATAACAAAGGGTCTTCAGAGTTCAGAGGCCAAGTCTGACTGATTCTCAGAAGTTCTGATGGCTGGAACGCACAAGCGAGGCCTGGTCTCCTGGGCCCCTCGCTGGAACCCTCACTGAGAGGTCTTCTCACAGGCCGTGCATGGGCCTTCTCACCAAAAACCAGCTGTCCACCTCGAACCACAGGGATGGGAAGAGGAGAAGCTTTAAAGATGTGCCCATACACGAGTACATAGGTATGTGGGAGGATCTTACATTTGCTTAAATGGGAAGCAGTATGCTTTGGAGTGGGAGGAGAGAAGACTTCTGATAATGGGGGCACAGAGTGGGGTGTGGGAGAGAGGCAGAAAGGAGAGGTGGAATGCCACCCTGCACTTTTGAGGTTCCTTATTCACCTCACCTCTCCTAATAACTTGACTTATTTCCCCCTCTGCTCCCCTTTTTAATGAAAAGTCGCCATCATCTATAGTGGTGGAGGGAAGAGGTCCACTTACATTAATAAAGATGGGGTTTCTTCAATCAGGCTTAGCAGTCATTAATGTGTGCTTCAGATTCACCATACTCTCCCTGATCCGTAGTGGACTGTTGGACATCTCCCATCCCCTCTCCCTCTTTTCTGGGGTCCCCACATAAGGCCCTATCTTCCTCCAGCTTCAAGGTGTGGGCCATTGTGTTCATAATCAGTGGGATGCAGGCAGCCCTTGGTCAGGGAACCAGTATAAGGTCAGTGTCATTCCTGCCCTTGCAGGAAGTCCTGCCCTGGATGGTGACTTCCTTTGCTTTAGTCCCAAAGCATTCCTCCCTGTGTTCGGGTCACATGTCCTGAGCGCTTTTCTCTGGAAAGCCCTGACTTGGGTGCCAGGATCCAGTGGGCACTAAGGGCAGGCCCTGTCTCTCAGAGGTCTCTGCTTACTACAAAAGTTCCTCAGCCCTGGCTGCACTTGAGAAATCCTGGGGAGCTTTTAAAGAAATACAGTTGTCTAGCCTTCACCTCAGACCCACAGAATCAGAATTTCTGACTTAGAATAAGACTCCCAGGTGATCCACCCAGGTGGTATAATGCCTTCTAACTGAGGAACAGGCTTCTGTTGGCACCTGGTCTTGTAAGAATGAGCCCTAAGATTTTCCCTGATGACCTGCCTTGGATTCTTTAGGACTTGGGTGCAGCTTTCTTACACCCATTCCCTACCCAGGGAACTTGACCCTTCCTCAAACCTCCCAGTTCCTGACTGTGACCTTGGCTTATCTTGCTCTGAGCGTCTCCATTACTCGCTCTACCAATCTTGCCAGATACTTATGAAACTTTGTTATTAATTACTTGTCTGTGACTATACTCCCTGCTGGAATGGGACCCCATCATGGAAGTGATTTACCTCAGGTCCCACTGCCAGATAGTGTGACAGCAGGGAGTCTAACTCTGATCGAGTTTCAGTTTTAGTCCAGAACTCTTTCCTAAAGCATTATGTCTCTTCCTCCTCTTTAGGGAGATGTCTACAATCTTTGGAGGCCCCTCTGTCTCCCTTATTGTCCCTTATACTTGCTATAGATGGGGGTTGTAGGTTTGCTCACCAGCTCAGCCCTGCCTTGGCAAAGATTTGTCTGGTACTGTTCTTTCCATGCACACATTGCTACATACATGCCACACAATGAACTTGTGAGATGTACCCTTGGTGCTATACAGTTGTCCCTCGCCACTTCGCACTTATACTTTCGCGACTTCACTCTATCGCGGTTTTTTCAAATATATTCATTAAAAAGTTGATCGAGACAGTGAAAATAATACAGCACATGCTTGGTTGTCTGAGTCAATTATACACCCCTGTATTACAATTAAAATTAAAATTACTGTATGTGTGGACTGTAGGCCTATGTATTCGAGCACCCCAGGAATCCTTCAACACCAGTGCAACCACTGGAGTCTGGAACGGTTTAACCTCGATAAACGAGGGACGACTGTAAATGAACTTCTCAGGGACATTCCAGGATCCCAAGCCTCTTCCAGTGGACCTTCTGTGCACTGGTCTTGATGTTCCAGCCAGGAGGAAACCTACAGGCACTGAATTGTGGTTCTAGAGGCTGAAATCCTTGGTGTGGGGTCAGCAAGAAGTGCTGCCTTGATCATTTCCCTCAAACTCATTGGGATCGGGGACCAGCCCAATGGGAGAACTCTTCCTGGGGATCAGGAGCGTTGAGAACAAAGAAAAAAATCACTAACTAAGGTCAGTTCCCAACAGGTTAAGTCCATAGACCATCAGAGCTGTAAGACATATTAGAGACACCACAATCTTGGGCCCTTATGTCATGGTCAGGGAACTGAAGCCTAGAGAATGTAAAAAACTTGACCATCAGGGTACAGCATGAAGTAAGGAAAGATCACGAAATTTGGGGTTAGGAAACACTTGATTCCTGCCTCTCCTACTGACCAGCTGTATGGCCTTAGGCAATTACTTAACCTCCTCGAGCCCCATTTTCCTCCTCCTCATCATGGGAATAATACTACCTGCCTTGGAGGGCGACGGTAAGGAATAAATAATATACTGTCTGTGATATTGCCTGATAGAGCACATGCTCCTTCTATTCTTTTGTCCCCTTTCTCTTTCAATTGACAGTCCCGCCCCCGTTTTGAGTTCGGAAGGGCGCTTCCCTTTGTGATTTAAGCTCTGATGATAAATGCTTTAGGGAGCCCTGGCCAGTTTTGCTCAGTGGTTAGAGCATCGGCCTGCGGTCTGGAGAGACCCGGGTTCGGTTCCCGCTAAGGGCACGTACTTCGGTTGCAGTTTGTCCCCGGCCCTGGTTGGTCGTGCGGGTGGCAGCCACTCGATGTGTCCCTTCACGTCGATGTTTCTCTCTCTCTCTCTCTCCTTCCTCTCTCTCCCTCCCACTCTATCTGTACAAAAAATGGAAAAATATCCTCGGGTGAGGATAAAAAAAAAAACAAAAAAACAAAAAAAATAAATAAATGCTTTAGGGAAACAATGGAAGGCAAGGGTTAATTTCCTAGCACAAGGCTGAGACCTGGTCTACTTTAATATACGTAGGGTCCTTTCTTTTCTTTTCCTCCTATATTTCAAAGCAATGACTTCATTTTCTAGCAGTATCGTAGCCCCTCTTCATTCTTCAAAGATAGATATTTAAAAAAATCTCCCCAAATGTTAACACCAGTGATTTCTGGGCTCCATTCCATTGGCTGAAATCCCCAGAAGGAATTCAATTCTTTTCCAAGTCTCATTCTGGTTCTCGGTAGAACTCTCAGCTAAGGAATTTCCTTTGGAGTCATTCTTGGCATTGTGTGGGTACTGCCACATGCAGGAGGGAAATGAAATCCTCCTGTTGGTTGGCTATTTGGTGATAGGGCCTCCTCGCAAGGATGGGTGAGGTTAGTATAGGAGCCAGACAACTGGGGTTTCAGCCCTGCTTAGTCATTATTTAGATATCTAGGCTGTTTACTCTGGGTGACTTAGTCTTTTCCCTCCCCTGGGTCTCAGTTTCCTCATTTGTAAAGCAAAGAGGGAAAATGATCTGCAGGATCCCTGCTGGCTCTGACCTTGTCACAGACTATGCCCTATTTGTCCTTGAGCAATTGGGGTTGTGCAGGACCCTGACTCTTCTAGCAGATCATCTGGTTGTTACCCCAGGATTTCAGTCTCCGTTAGTTTGGAATTTGACCCCCTTAACTGAACAGCCATAACATTTTTCTTTCCTTTTCTTCCTGGGAGCAAACTTTTATAAATCTTACTCTGACTAGACTTCTTTAAAGGTTATTCATATTTTGAAAGGGAGTTACCTTGAGAGGTACTGCCTTATGTAAGGACTTGGGTGGTAGTGATGGCATTTCAATCTGTATTTTATCTCCTTATTTCTTAAATAAGCCCAATATTTTCACTTATGTCTTAACAGAGTCATAGTAATATTTTGAGGACATAATATATTACCTATTTTCAAGATCAATTTATTCAACAAATGTTTATTGAGTACACATTATGTGCCGGGTATTGTTCTAGGCATTAGGATATAGTGAAGAACAAAGTGACTAAATCACTGACCTTATTGATAGTAGAGGAACTGGACAATAAACAATATAAATAAGATGTCTGGTATATTGGACAGTGTTAAGTAGCAAGGAGAAAAATAAAGTAGGCAGAGGGGATAGGAAAGACAGGTGATAGAATTATAATTTCAGATTGGATAAGGAGGGAAGGTCTCACTAAGAAAGTGGCATTTGAAAAAAAAAAAGAAAGAAAAGAACTGAGTAAGGGGAATGACATGTGCAAAGGCCCTGAGGTAGCAGCAGATGGAATG